TCATCTTTGTATTGTTTTGGTTTTTTTTCTTTTTTTGTAAAACTTATAAAACTTTTAATAAAAAAAAAAAAGGTCATCCAGATATGTGTAATGAAGGACAAACTCAAAGAGTATGTTTTATGTAATTTTCATCATTAAAGGGACGCTGAAAATCTTTGTGTTTTTATTTTGATTTTTTTAATGGATATTTCTATCTAAATGGAATGACATAGAGTAGCTTTAAGGCAAATATCTGCAAAAAGATGTACCATTTTCAAAAGATTCCCCTCACCACTAATGTATCTACTTTGTTAAATTAGATTGCATCACAGCATAGATTATACTCCCTGCTCAGATATTCAGAAACTGAACAAATAAGTACAAGCCACTTAAAGCATTGATAGGTTTTATCTTCTTAGGATTAACAGTATATCTATAACAAGTCACTGCTTGTTATCACAGTCTAGAGATATACTACATTGATGCTTTCTGTTGATCATTTGTGGCTCTCTGTGTATAGTTTCCATAGATACTAAGCAGAGCACATTAAGTTATTTTTATGATAAAGAGAAGGAAAATAGATTGTTGAGATTAAAGATATAAATGCCACTACATTGTTTTGGAATGTTAAAAAAAGAAAAGAAAAAACCCACATCCCTAAAAATAATATTGGTCAATATTTAATTTCTGACTTCCACCTTTTACTGGGTTGGGGAAAGGCATCATTTTGATTCCATACTTCATGGCCAGCCAATAATGTAATTTCTTGTTGCAGGGTGAAGGATGGAGCTCTCATTATCAAATCCCTATTTCATATCACATTAGATTCTTATTCAGAAATAGCATAATTAACCAATAACAGGTGTAAAGAACTTAGGTGTCTGTCTCTTGTTAGGCAGCTTGATAGATGATTAAGCACTCACATATATTCACCCATCCCTGCCACACCATCCCTGCCACATATTGGAAGAAAAAATGTGATTTTTCTTCCTGCCAGAAAATGATAATTGGTAGGAGGAGAAATTCAGAGAGTGGGATGCAACAATCATTTTCCTTAACATGGTCTGCATTAAAAGAGTAGGAACCATTCACTGATCTCATTAGTGAGACAGATTACTGATAAGTTTGCTTGGTGCTGGCTCATTGACTGAAGGATTCAGTTTTAACATTGACCTATGTCTATCCCCATTTTGTACTCTTACTTCTAAAGACTCTACTCTTGTCAATGAGTAATGTGATATAAAATCCTTTAGGAATACCCAACAGATTATCTCAAGAGCTTCATCAATTACTGAGAGAGTTAGCTACATGCTCATATTTGTTTGTGGGATATATATGCTGGGGACTATTGCAATGCCTTCTATATGGGTATGCCCTTGAAACTTATTCACAAGCTTCAGCTGGTCCAAAATGCAGTGGCATGTGCAGTACTGGATACACAATACAACTACTATATGAGCTGTGTTAGCTCCCAGTATGCTTTTAGGTACAATTCAAGATACTGGTTGCCATCTTTGAAGGCCAACATAGCATGATTATTTATGGGACCATCTCTCCCTTCCCATCAAATCTGGCAGAATGAGCATGCTCCAGGTTCTCTTGGTGAGGCAATGGCATATAGTGGGCCCAAGCAAGTGTGTCATGGTGTATGCCTTATGAAACAGGCTCCATCCAGAGGTTCAGGCAACTCTGACCTATGGCCTTTTGGAAGACCACAAATACCTAGCTAGGCACTGAGGCTGAGTTTTTAATTGGGGAGCTCTAGCATGGATGAATATCATAGATGTTTGGTGTTTTCAATGAGGGGCTTAATCTAGGTCTTTATTGTTTTTGCAGTTTTATTGCTAATGTTTTATACAGCATTTTTGTTTCCCAGAATTTCATTGGATAGATGAGAAACCTTACAATTTTGATTAATAAAGAAAAGAATAAAATAAAAAGGTAAAAATAGTAAAGATTAGAATAATGCACATTTAGGCTTCAAACACTTAGCAGTGTTTTATCAAATGAGACATGTTTTATCTTAAATTTGAAACAATGCATTTAAGTATATTTGACCAAAGTAAACCAATATTTTAATTAATTTATTTCCTGATTAGTTAGCTAAATACTTCCTAGGACTTTTTTTCATTTATGCATCGGAATTCTTAATGTTCTTTACTTTAAAAAGTAAGTACTGTGAACTGGAAATTCTTGCTTCGAGGAACAAAACTGCATTGATAATTTCAGTATTTCTAAGTACAAAGCTATAACTTGGTTAATTGCAAGCCTGTGGTTGCAATTAAGTGATGTAAACAGAGTATAATGTAATGAGATGGCCATTCTTTTCAACTAAAATTATGACAATACTGGCAACAAAGCTGGCTGCATGAACAAATCTCTTTTATTTAATGGATAATGAGAGCCAAGAGCTATTTATTTACCATTATCTTTGTCTGCTCTGTAATGCTTCAAAAGATTATGGTTTTTAAACAATCACATTCTTATGACTGCTTGTTAAGGAAGCAATCCATTTGTATTCAATTGGTTTAGTTTCCAGTAACTGAATATACTATTTGTATATAAACAAATTTCACCCAAAACATCAGACTGCTTTAATATTCAGTTATATAGTATACAAACTTCTGTATCATGTTCATATTTAGGCATAAAAGATAGTATTATACTCTCTTATTTCCCTGCAAGCTAGCTGCAAAGTTAGTAAAACAAGAATACCGGGGAATTTTGAAAACAGACAATATTACATACCTGTATGTTTTGAACTCATACCACAATGATTGAAATATGCGTGAATTCCTACATTGGAATTGGGATTTAAAAAGTAACTTTGCATCCTGTGCTCATTTAATACATGATGATGATGACAATGCTAAGGTGTCATCAAATTGGATTTGACTGTTAGTGACCACATATGTTTATTTAATGCATAATACTACATATTACATAAGGAATCAGTTATTCAATCTTGAGCAATATTATTTAACTTTGCTCTCCCACTTATAAAAATACTCTACTATGATAAACCGGGAATCCTAGAATCCTGTATAAGTTAGATATAATTTGTATAACAAAATAGGGAAAAAATATATAGGAGCATTGGCTATAGGGAAAATCTAAATTTTGTTCTGTGTAACAAATAACACATCATGTCTATGTTTCTACTTTCCCTTTATGCTGTATCTGTTTTTACATGTGCACATGCCTGTTCTATGCTAGCTCATACTAGCAAACTCTTCTTTATTTAATTTATGTCCAATAGCTTAGCTAGAAATGGTTTTCCTTCCTGGAAACAGAACACTTAACTAAGGACAGGAAGGAATTTGTGAGGCTTCCTCCAAATGTAATTATCCTTTACTGTACTCAGTGCTGTGAATTTTGCAATGCAGCTCTGATCCAAATCAGTATACAAAAGGCATTTGGGCAAGGGGAAATTATTTGGAAAAATGGAAAGAATCAGATTCATCTGTCCTTGTCTGTGACTGTAGCCATACAAATGATGGGCTGTTCTATTAAGGCCCCTCCAACTTTAGACACTAGCTTGTTCTGACATGCTGTATCACTACTTTGGTCATTGTTAATAGAATTCCAGTTTTATTATTTCCCTTTGCCCTGTAGCCCAACACTGAAGAAATGCCACAAAAGAGGAAATAACTGAAGAGGTGAGTAACTTCCCTGTCTATGAAACTGCCCTCTTTTCTAGTTGATAGAATTCTTTGGTCTTTCTAAATTACTTTTTCTGCCCTCCTGCTGATAGAGGAGTGATTTCCAGCTTCTTGAAGAGAACTGAAGTTTGATAAAAAGCCTGTTCTCTTTTCCAGCTTAGCAGGATGATTAAGGAACACTGCTTCTCTGTCAAAAGTGCTTCAGAGCCATTGTGACTGAAGCAAAATAAATTGGCACAGAGCAAGCAGGAAATGTAAATAATTGCACCTTCTCAAATTCACAGAAAACAGCACAGTTTAGAATAAATTTTGCATGCATTATAGATGGCTGAATTTGTCTTTCTGGTTTTTTTTTAGTCCCTTTCACCCAAAGCAGAAAATTCTATTTAAACATTCTTTTCAATGTTTATATTTCAAGAAAAAGGAAAAGGTAAGTCTCAGGGAAAGCTAAATGTTCATTAAAAATCAAAGTTTTTTATCTCATGCTCCACTATATACTGATGTGGCTATAATATCTATTGCCCAAAATCATTAGCTGAGAAATTTTTAGGCAAGAAATTTACAATGCCTGAACACAAAGTGAAAGTGAGAAATAGAAGACAGGACAATGGTATACGAAGTGTTGACACTAAGTTGCCCTTTGCGGTGGCAAACACTTTTTCTGAAAATGTCTAGCTTTAGCAATAGCACTTAGACTTATATACTGCTTCACAGTGGTTTACAGCATTCTCTGAGAGATTTACAAATGTCAGCATATTGCCTCCAACAATCTGGGTCCTCATTCTACTGACCTCAGAAGGATGGAAAGACTAATCAACTTTGAGTTGATCAGGATCTAACTCCAGGCTATGGGCAGAGTCAACCTGCAATACTTCATTCTAACCAGTGCTCCACCACAGCTTAATATGAACTATTATACAAAATATTGTATAATTGTCAGTTTGAATGCTCCTAGTAATTTTGAGTATAATCAGGATATATATTTAGGCATATTAAATATTAACAATATTGGTAGCAAACCTACGCTATTAGAAGTATACAAATCCTATTCATGTTCCAATGCATGCTTAAAATCACTCTTAATTTCAAAGTAATAAAGTGCAATTCACTTTTAATTGTAAAGAATATCCATGGCATTCACTTTCAAAATTACAATTTAATTGCAAAATTTACCTTTAATTGGAAAGGCTATCCATGGAGAGGTGTAATTATCAATCTTACTATGTCATTGTTGCAGAAAAGAGATGGATAATGTTAATGCAAACTGATAGCTTTTAATGAGAATATCAGCTTTTCAGTATGCATTTCTCACATACAGCTAAATAAAAACATTTGCAAACATAAATCTATATGAAATACCTAAAGTCCAAGCCTGCTCGCTTCCCATTTTCAGGAATCCCTGGGTCAGGACACATATCTGAGGCAACAGCATCTCCTCCTTGACTCACTGTAATAGAAAAAAAATGAGCAATCACATTTGGTAAACTATACTTAAAATACAACTTTTTAGAAAGACAAAGAGAATCATGAAGAGTTCAATGTGTTATTCATTAAGAGTAAGCTGTCTCTTTACTCCTCTAGTCATGTCTAACTCTAGTGGGCAGCCATGTTGTCAGCCTGACATCATGCTACAGCACAGAGCAAACGGTGAAACACGGAATGCTGTTACCTTCCTGCATGTTTATATGCAGCACCTATTCATCTACTTGCATTTCACGTTTTCGAACTGCTAGCTTGGCAGGAGCTGGGACAAGTGACAGGAGCTCACTCTGTCTCGTGGCACTTGGATCTCAAACTGCTAAGATATTGACCTTTAACAGTCTAAAACTCAGCATCTTAACCACTGAGCCGTGACATCCCTCAATTAAGATTAAACATAGATTTATATTTCACACAGGAGATAAATTGAAATATGTTCATGGATTCATTACATTTCATTCTACTTACACTAGAATTACCAGATCAGGGCTGCAATATATACACCCTTGCTGTCATTTAGTGTTCAGTTGGATTTCTGCAGCCTTATTTATTTATTATTACATTTATAGCCAAAGCCACCTTGTGGTAATTTCCAACAAAATTTGATCAATAGCAATAAAACTCAAAGAAAATGTACTGAAATCATAAAAACATTATTGTTGGAGATGTGAATCCAATAGTAGGGCTTCTTCAGGAACTTTTCATAAGAATCTTGCAGAATGGTAGATATAATTCACCTTCCCTTAAGCTCTCAAAGCAGAAAGATTTAGATATTACATGTTGCTATACTTCATGTTTAGGATTTTTACCTGACTTACACATCCTGTCTTGGAGAGAAGGGGGTGGGGTCTCCATTTTTACACAGGATATATGCTACAGGATTTAATTCTATTTGGGACTGAATCAGGACATAAGTAGCCAGATTTTAGTCAATGGAATTAAAACCACTACCAGGAATTGGATTGATGGACTTTTGTACTTTGAATGGTCATAGAGCATCACATAGTGCACACAATGGCTTTGAAAAGCAGGAATGGATTATGAACAACAAACAATGGCATTAAAATTGTGAATACTTGTGGAAAATGGTTGATTTATTTTCTTCAAGGCTGCAGTACATTTAAGAATGTGATAAGATGATATGGATTTATGTGGGTTCACAGGAAGACAATAGCAAGGTTATAAATGGGTTTAATCCCTTCAAATGAGAAATGTTACATGTGATTTCTTGTGACAATATAGTGAATTTTAGCTGAAAGCTGAACCTTGACACCTGAAACATTATCAAAAAATCAATTTCTATTGAAATAACAGCATTACAGAAATTATATATGTTGAGAGATAATGTACTTTTGCATACACATACTTGGGCACACATATATAGAACAAAGCTCTTGTAAGTGACCAGTTTCTGGCATCTAGTGCTATTTCCCCCATAAACCACTAAAACTGAAATCATTATTACACATTTTAATATTCAAGTCTTTAAAATGTCTCCCTTGGCAAGACTATTATTTTGAAAAGACATGAAATACCTCTACCATTCTATCTAGCATATGAGAAATCTTAACATGCATTAACATTTTTCTTTATATTTCTACAGAATATTTTCTTTCTCTGTGGCAAGATTTGTTTTTAGCATCAACAGGTAGAAATTATGACAGCACAAGAAACTGGAAATAATAAGTGGCATATTATTAGAAGATTAATTTAAATGTACCACACAGGTAAAAATCTGAGAAAATCATATTTCATAAGCAAAATTTAGGAAATACTTATTCACCTTCTTTTTTATAGTTAATTATGACTATAATTAGTATCAAGAATCAAACAATATACACAACAACCACTTAAAGCAAAATGTTTCATTCCGAAATTCTGACAAACTGCCTCAGCTAATCTGGAAAACCAAGACAGGACATTTAAAATGTTGTGTTTTATATCTGCTGCCCCCATTCAGATTCCCCAGTGATTCAACCTTTTTATTTTCAAGTGCTTTTTCATTAGGATTTCTTTCTATCCCAGTATGGCCTTATAGCCAGAAAGTACCTAACTGCACGTTCCTCCTCAACAAGGTTCTAACAATTATGGATTAACAATAATAGTTTTTAGCATACAAATGCCATGTTTATTGCACAGCACTCTAAGGTAAATCTTATTATACCTTAATGGAAAGTGTGAACACCTAAAGAAAGAAATTGTTCATCTGCCAACATAGAAAGTTGGTCTTTTCAAGAGAAAGCTCAACATACTGAATCTTAGGCAATTGATTATAGCCTCTCCACTTAACATAGCTGTAAATTTGGAGCTTATTAGCAATCCAGTTGAGTTTAGGGGCTCATAAATACCTTCTAGAGGCTGATGAGAAAGTGGATTTGAATAGTCTGGCAAAAATATGAAGCTTGTCCCATTTTAATGTCAACCTGAGACCCAGAACTACACACAAGCCTTGAAAACTTGGGCTATAGCTCTGAGAAATGTCAAACATTGGAAACAAATTGTAATGTGACAGAAACTGAAAAGTCTTACAATATCTGACTGGAAGGATATCCTAGTTATATTTTATTTAGCCTTTCTTAAAAAAGAAATATAGTTTTTGTCCTGGCTTTATCTATTTGGAATGTAGTTAAAGGTCTACAATTCAAAATTCCATGGATGTGAAGTATAGTTCTGTTTAAGGCTCAATTCAGCTCTGCTAAGCTTCTAGAATTCCCAATACAAGGTCAATAATAATTTCTATAGTGAAAATATCCAAGATTGAGTGAATTGATTTAATGTTGTTATATCTATGAAAAACAACAAACATTTTTGGGTAGTTTATGACTTTCCAGAGATTCTGATCATACAATATATCATGTGTTTCAAAATTATGTATAAAAGTTTCAACACACCAAAATTTGTTAAATATATTGGATTTTGGATCGGGTTTTGACCTTAATTTTATTCAAGGAAGCAAATCATAATCAAGATATATATCTTTCAATTTCTACTAAGATCATTTTTAACTTACAATATATACGTCCTCTAGAATTATTTTGAATGTAATTTTTTTTCAACATTGTTTCCAAGTCACTCTTCATGGTTAATATATCACAGAAGCTTTTCAGTATCAATCCCCAGGTTTGTGTGAGGGTGTTCCTTATTTTAAGCTTCATAGGTTGCTGAATAAAAAAGGAACACTGTGATCTCAGAGCATTTGAGCCATTTTTGTTTCATTTAAATAGGATTCACATCAGCACACATGTTCCCCTCCTTGCTATGAAGAGTAAAATGTGCCTAAAAATTATGTCAGAATAAGTAATGTATATTTATTGATTCCCCAAGAGAAAAACATGCTCAAAGCCAGGAAATAATATAATATCTTATTCACAGACTTTCCATGAAAAATATTCAGAGATTTGTCATTTTGGTACAATATTCTATATTGTGATGGAATGTTGTCTGGATTCCCGGGAGAGAGGGAGTGCATTCCAGAGAAGCAAAAGACAGCAAAGTTGAGATAGTTTAAGTGGGAAAAAGAGAGTTAAGACAGTTCTTTCCTAGTAGGTCTCAAAGTACATGTTTAATGGTGCAAGTAGTCTGTTTTAGTTTGGAAAGAACCAATTCTATAGGGAAAGAACAATAAAGGAAACAGCTTAGAAGAACCTCAACATGTCTTTCTTGAAGCATGACATATATGTACATTGTCATACATTTTCTCTTTAGAAAAGTCACACCACAATTGTTCTAGAAAAGGAAGCTTATTTAGGAGAGTAAACCACCTAGGTATGTTGAAACAAACTTGTCTGTCAAGTTATTTTAAATTAGAGATCATTGAAAAGGGAAGGGGTTACAATGGAAATTCCAAATAGTGAACCAAAACAGTCAGTTTTAAGGACATTCGAATCTTTATTTTACACTTACAGTAGTGTTTTCTTGCCATTCAAAAGTACTCTTTTTTATAAAAAAATGGATTCTTTTTTGAGGAAGAAAACATTTTGCTTCTCATCCAAGAAGCTTCATAGTTTTCCTGCAAGTGTGTCTTTCGATAAATCCAAACAGAAGTGTAATTCTCAATTAAATCAATTAAATTAGGATGGGGGATAATTTGGGGGATAATTTTCTAATTTGTTCCATATTCTCATAAATATGAAAATAATTACAATAGATATTCTGCTTGTGCTGTTGTGCCAAAGGCTGCGAGGAAAAAAAACCCAGGTATGAACACCATATCTTTCTACAATGAATATGTATGTATGCATGTGTGTGTGTGTGTGTGTGTGTGTGTGTATGTATGTATGTATATATATATATATATATATATATATATATATATATATATATATATATACATACATACATACATACATACATACACACACACACACACACACATATCTCAAATCAGAATTTTTAAATAAGAGCAAGGAAAACAACATCATCACTAGAAAATTAAACATCCTATATTAAATGTTATATTTCAATTTCTTGATTGTTATCATCCATTCCCAGTTTGAAACAAATTGCATGTGAGTATTGACAATTTCAACAAATGTATTTTAGATATATATTTTTGATTAACAGAGTTCTGGTTTGGTATTAAAATTTAATGTATTTAGCCTTGTTCTTGCTTTATGAAAAATACATTTTTAAAAAACAACATAAAATGCTTTAATAAAATTGTCTTCACCTCCTTTGATTGGATATTATATTAAACTGCTGAAGGAGAGAGGTACAGTAATCCAGCCTGGTAATATATATATATATGTTTAAACCAAACATAAAATAAAAATTAATTAACAATTGAAAGTCTGTTCAAAAAGTTATCATTAAAGTCTGTATAAAACACAATAAAGATGTTTATTACTCAATATGAGCAACATGCCTGAATAGATGAAAGATAGCTTGAACTTGATTCACCTGAGGAAACTGCCCAGATCTAATGTAGGTGAATGCATTCAGATTATGTAACAAATGCTTGGGGCTTGC